TGCACCTACTACAGCATCTAAGAGAAGATTAGTTTATCTTCACTAACAAAGGTAAGGCAACCGAGAAATGCTATTAACTACAGTGTGCACTGTTTCTGTCGTGTGCATGTAACGCTGAAAGGCTGTCTTGTGTTTGCAAACACCACTGTGTGGATATCTTTCACTGAGCACTGATTGTTTTCATAAAGGTTGTCATAACTGCTCATGTTAAGTCACTGTGCTGAAATTAGAGGTGACTCTGTACCACCAGTTCAGCTAACCCAGTCTTAAGCATCTAAACTCCCTCACCTAAACACTAAGTTAATAATAAAAACTTATCTGCATGCACTGAGACCGGCTAAGTAATGTTGTTGTCTAACAGTCACACAGTTAGAGTATACTCTGCTAGAGCACACAGCCCACAGCATCACTGTTTTTATTCTTACTACGGTCTTTTCAAAGGCAGATCGCTCTTCTAAGCTTCTCAGGCTCGGCTTGTTTGTCGTTTCTGACATATGTCCACGTAGGTGACACGGTCACAGCTCGTTGTGTTATTAATGACACATTTGTCTTTACACCACGTTAAGCATTTACATGTTAGCTAATGTGGAGCTGTCCATACGTGGAGTTCCAAAGCACCTGTTTGCAAGAGTGAAAGCTGGCTTTAAGATAAGACACGAGCCTTTGGGCATCAGAAGAGGCAACGTTTTTATAATCTTCAGTTGTCTAATTTTGGGAATTGTGTATAAATTGGAGCCTCAGTTTCCTGTCCTTGGCTGCCAGCAGTGACACCAGATGTGGTCTTCTGCTTCTGTGCATTCAGATATGCTTTTCTGCTTACCTTGTGTGCACCTACAAGTGTTTATTTGAGTTACTGATGCCTTCTTATCAGCTCCAACCAGTCCGCCCATCATGCTTTCACCTCTGACATCTAAAAGAGTGTAACACAGAATGGTCTTTCTTGATCCTCATCGATCCTTTAACTGTTAAAATCACCAATATGAATCGCCCTATTATCTCTGACAGTAAAGAAGCAAACGCACAGAACCAGGATGGATCCAGCTCAGTTGTTTCCATTCTCCCTGCAACATCCCAACCCCCACCAACACCTTCAGCAGCAACACTGGCAGCACCTTCAGCAACAGCAGCTCTGTCCTGTGAGCTCAGCTGCAAGGGTAATTCCATTTGTCCCCCAAACAAGAGCTGCAGAAAGGCAAAGAAATAGAGTAGACTGGCATCCAGGAAAGGAGCAGCATGCTGTGCAGCATCTCCCAGCCCAGGTGGACTCCTTCCAAATCCTCCTGCCAGCTGTCTACCCGCCTCCGCTCCACCTCCAGCCTTTATCGCCTGGTGAGCCCCTGTATAGGCCCTACTCTCCTCAACAGTCCTACTGGCTGCCCATGCCCAGCTACAGTTACAAGGCCGAGCCCTACATACAGCTGCCCTTCAGCTCCAGGCCCGGGCACCTCCCACCAATTCTGTGTCCGCAGATCGTGCTGCTCCCTCAGACTCACTGTGCAAACCAGTAAGGGCTCTATTACTGCACATGTTACAATAACTAATACTGGATATGTCTTGATTGTGTCTGACCCCACCATTTGTGCCACAGGGTCTACATAAGTTCGCCCGCAGAGGTGACAACAGCATCAAGACAGAGGACAGAGGTGGATGAAGGGTCAGGAGGTCAGGGGTCAAAGAGCTGTGCAAAAGGTACCTGAACAGCTAAGCTGACCACCAGCTGAAAAAAAATCAAATATGATTGAAATTTAATTAGACTTTTAGCAGAGTAGTGAGAAATAAAAGCTAATAGTTATTGTCCCGTTTTTACTATGTCTGTCTTCACTAACAGAGGACCAGAAGAACAATCCATACAAAGGCAACCCAGGCAATGAAAGCAACACAGTCAATGAAAGCAAGACTCCCAAAGAAAACATCCCAGCCAGTCTTACAGAGGACTGTTGTTTTCCCGGACCTACAGCCTCTTTAGATGAGGAAGCAGTGAACAAACATTCCATTGACGAATGTTTTAGTCTCCTAGGGCCCTTCTTTGACCAGGTGAGCAGTTGTATTGAAACTGTAAACAGCCTTTTTCAACCAAGTCATCCACAAGTAGAAAAAAGAAATTTTGTAAGCTGTGTTTGTGTATAGATATTTTACCCTTCGTCTGTTCCAGCTGCTTCCCACTCAGGCTGAAGACCCCAGGGAGGAGGAGCATGGAGAGGCTGGGTACCTGAACATGGAAAACAGTTCCTTCCTGGAGTATATGGATGAGCTGTGCAGAGACGAGGAGTTTGTCAGTAAGGTAAACTGTCCATGCATAACCCTTTCATTATATTTAGAGCAGGAAGACAGCATCACACCAATAAATTATGTGAAGTGTTATATATTTGTTGCCGTTAGCAACTGTTAAGAAAAAGCTGATGGGGACCTGTGGACCTGTGATTTGAATTACTTGTAATAGCCAGCAGGGGGCGATGCCTCTGTTTGTAAACATTAAATCTGAATGCAATAGTCTGGAAAACAACCTGCTCCTTACTTGATCGGCAGGCTCAATAACCACCGTCATGATGAGTTCATGGCTCAGTCAATAATTTGAGGATTTACTGCATAAAACACAAAGCTATGTTTTGTATGTTTTGGGGCCCATTGTAGAGAAAAAGAATGATTAAGCAGGTGAGGCTTTAGTGTGAGTGGACAGTTTCCCTCAGATTGTCCACCATCCTCCAGCTGTTCAGGAAAATGTGTAACCTCCCTGTGGTCGGTTAGTGGTTGCTGGAGGTAGCTGGGTGTAGCTAGGAGAATGTGGTCCTAAAAAGGGTCTGGCATGTCTGCAAATACTTGTCGACTAATTGCAGAGTCATAGTGAAGCTTGTAAAAGTGCAGCTGACGAGTGTTTGCAGGCAAGCTGGCGTCTTCCATGAAAAACTACTGACGGAGGAGGTTTGCAACTGGTTAGCTACCACTTGCCAACTAGTTGGTGAATACAGATTTTTACTTAGAGTCCAGTTTTTTTCCTGGATGACCCTGAAGGCCCTTTCACATTGGACACAGCAAAGGACACAAAATTTGTGTCCCGCTGACCACTACGCTCTGCTTGTACTACATGTGCATGATCCTCGTAAATTCAAAAAATTGTATTTCTCTAACTTTGTATCCCCTACAAGAGTTTGTTTTGTATTATGTTCACATGTTTAATAAAAACATGTTTCACTCATAAAAAAGCTTTGCAACTATACTTGCAGCACATTTTGCTCACAGCACTTCCTGAGTATTAGCCCTTTTTATGATGTTTTGTTGTTCAAACTGTTGCCTTTGCTCTTTGTGCCAGGTGGAGTCCACGGTGAATATCGAAGCCCTCATGCCTCTCCTCTCTGCCAGCCAGGACCTTTTTGAAGAACAAGAGCAAGAGGTAGCATCCTTTAAATACTGATACAGTACAGTAACAATAATTAAAAAACAAAAACATAAACATTTATTGAAAATGAATGTTTAGGGGATATTTTGTTTGTTCTCTTGCTCTACAGATGATCCTGCAGGAGGAGCTGCCTCCATGTCCTGCAAACAGCGATCATTTCTACGGAGAAACACCTTCGGTATCTTCACAGTCACTCTCTTTGGATGCTCCAGGCTCCCTCTTTGCAAGTAGCCCCAATAGAAACGGACAAAATTCATCCCAGAATGAAGTTGGGATCAGCTGCTCCCGCCTCCTGCTTTCAAACCTTTTAGAAGAACCGCCTTCACCCAAAACTCTCGAACAGGAGGTTCAGGCGAGCGAGGAGAACCAGACCAAACCCAAGACCAACATTCTCGAAGCGCTTGCTGCGGTCCTTAAAAGAACACGTGGAACAGAGAAAGACAAGGAGAAGAAAAAACTGCAGAAAAAACAAAGAACCCAGTCATTTAAGAGAAAGCGGAGCCGGGAAACAAAACTAATGAGCACTGCAGAGCAGTTTCTGGAGCCGACAAAGAAGAAACAGCTCAAGAGTCCCAATGTTGAAGGGATTTTTCGCAACACAATGCCCCAAGTTTAAAAATCATCCGCGTCAAACAACCAAGCCGGCGGGAAGAGGGGACGCTCGGGAGAAAACGCAGGGACGGCAATGGAGCAACTGGAGTAGAGTCCCACACAAAAAGCAGGAAAGCCAAAAGAAGCTAGGAGCAACAGTTTGAAAGAAAAATAAATGAGTAAGAGAAAAATGATGTTTATTTGTGACAAACACCTCAGGACACTTAACGTCCATTTCCTGCTGCAGTTTGATCTGTTACAGGCGCTTAAGGCGGGAAAACAAACAAGGCTTTGTAAATGAATTCACAGTTTATTGTTAAATGTAAACATGGTTCATTCACACAGAATAAATCTGCCAGAGTATACTTTGTTTTTGCACATGCAATTATCATCATTACTATCATCATCATCATCGTTATCCCTTTAACAACACAAAATTCACTAAAACACATATGAGTGGAAAGGTTATAAATACAAATGACAGTGACTGTACACGATGAGGATGAAAACAAACAGGAGCTGTCCTCACACCTCTGAGCACCACAGCAGCATCACTCAGACTAACTTTAAACCTCAGAGGTTCTTTTTTTGGCTTTTCTGTGTCGGTGCAGACTAATAGGATATGTAACACTTTTTGAAACATAACAGCTGGAAAAAAAAGACTTAAAAGCTGAAAATACAATCTTTAGCTGTTTCTGTTGTTTCTATCTGGCCCCGCCATCGTGCACTCTGGGGAAACACAAAGAAGGTCCAATTACAGAGAGGAGATCATCATTCGGACTTCTTGTCCTCATTAACGGAGCTGTTCAGGAGGCTTCTGTTGTTGTTCACAGACGTCCCGTTGGCGGATGGCAGTCCCTTGGACTGCAGGATCTCCTTTGTCACTTTCTGATATATCGGGTGGGTTGTCAACACGAGCAGCAAGCTCTCTATGGAAATGTGAAGACATTTTAGCTCCTCCCATCCCCCTCAGTTTAGTTTAACACAGCACAAGGCACCACAGCTCAGTGAAGACCAAGCTCAGGTTAAACACATGTATCCTCTAGGTTTGATGACTATTTTTTCTGATAGAAATTTGTAGTATAAAATATAAAGTTACTAATAAACTAGACAAAACTGGCTTTTCAGTCGGCTGATGCAGAGGCCCAGATCCCCAGGCTCGGGGAGCAAAGAGGTTATTTTAATCACTGTCAACAGTAAATAAGTACAAAAAACCTGAGCTGAGTAAAAGAGCTGTCACATTAAACTGAGGACTTCATCAAAGAAGCCCACAAACATGGTCCTGCAGGCTAGCTATGTGTTTATGCTCCTGTGTTAATGCAGCTAGTTTATTATTTACAGACGTAACTCTCTGCTGGTGGATGTGATGGCCCTCGTGGGTTCTTAATCCTTTGAGTTATCTTCCTTCCAGCCTTGTGTTTCATGTAGTGTTGCACATCAAATGTCGACATGCATTATTCCCATTGGAAACACGAAATTCAGTTGGAAATTCAGCCTCAATATTCCAGTTTGTGGTTTCAAAGTTTTTGTTATCCCGTGTTTTTCTGACACGATTAGTTGTTAGTGAGTCCAAACTCTTGTTTGGTCCTAAGCTCAAACACCGCAGCATCACCTAGAGTTCAAAGCGTTCTTACTGAGGGATTTCTAATAAGCTACAACGTGCAGCTCTGCTGTTACTTCACACATAAATGACAACAGGAAATAAACAGCAGCTATATTTGTGGGATTATTGAAGTTGGGCTAGCTGGGATATAACAGTGCACTGCCTGGTGGCTAGCTACAGGCTATGGTTAGGGTAATATAAACACATTAGCACAGTGAAGCTGGAGCATGAGCATTTTCCCCTCAATAAAAATCAATGTGAAGGTCCCTGATGGGCAGAGACAAATGAAATCATAAGGCAAACAGTCAGGAGAACAGCTGAGAGGATCGATCCACAACACAAGGTTAGTAATTAATATGCTGCTGTGTGGTTTGTATTACTGGCTATCAAAGCGTCCTGATCCTCTGCTTCATGTAGCCACTGAAATCTTAGGCCGACTCAGAGTGATTCTTTTATGGGGCACTCACTTCTGTGTCTGGTGACCCCTGAACCTTGTAAGCCTTTAAACACTGAGCTTAAAGATGTGCTGCACATAAACGGTGCTAATAAACAGCCAGAGAAGCCCACAGTGACCACTGATTATTTTTAGGGGCTTGTTTAAATAAAATAAAACACAATACACTACAACACGTTAAAGCAGATATTAGCCTCAACCAAGCAAGGTCGATGCTTCATCACTAAAACTTCCTGTGTCTGCACCTTTTTCGCTAATCCTCACACTCACCACGAGTTTGTAGTTTGTATGCAACAACGCTAACACGCAGCTCTATAATCTCCAGCGGCTGCACAGCGATGTGCCGTCAGCAGCTGCTTCGCCGTTTGACTCTCACCTTCAGTGAGCTGCTCCTGGTCCTCGGTGGCAGTGTCGTAGAGCTCCTCGGTGCTCTGCTGAGGAACACCCAGCAGAGCTCCCATGAGCTCGGTCAGCTCCTCTTTAGTCAGACTGCCTCTGCCCTCTCTGTCGAACGCCTGCAACACAAGACGGCTGTGTCATCACCGACAAAAACAAGAGGTCTGCTCGAAATATGAATCTAAGAGAGCAGAACTTACAGCGAAAGCAGAGTGAAACAGAGAGATCTCGTCCACATGTCCGATAAGGGCTGCCATATTGAAGTAGATGTGTCTGAGGTCCACAGTGTCATCCTGAAACAAAACAAGCACACAAAAACACGTTCTCTGTCACCTGAGCTTTTATTTTGGTGGCCTTTCTTCTGCTCTGCTTCCTTCAGCAAACTCATATGCTACTGAATAAACTGACAAGCCTCAAAAATCAAAACATCTGGAACATCTGTGGCTGAGGAAGAGCTTGGCTGGCTCTAACAATAAGAGTACCTTAGAGTAGAGGCTGCAGATGTGGATGGCTGTCTTTTTGTTAAGCCCGAGAATGGAGGCGAGCTCCTCTGCGCTGGCCTTTGTGCCCTCGGCTCCTGAGCGACACCTGTCAATCATCCTGTCAATCATCCTGTCCAACGCTGCCTCTACATCACGTGGGCCCAGACTGATAGGAGAGGAGGACAAAGACCACAGTGTGAGGAGAGGATGAGGAGGAGTTTCTCACATGATAAATAAACCAGATTTAGTAAAAGGTAAATCCAAACGGGCTCTCACCCTTTTCTGTATAGAAGTGTCATTGCTTCTTTCCCAGGAGACTCAAGCGGGACAGAGAGGTCATTCAGCTTACTGACTGGAATCCGGCCTGCCATCACGTAGTCTGAGGCAGGGACTCCCAGAGCGCTAACATACAGAAGAAAAAAGCAAACAGATTACAACAACTGACACAAAGTCAAACAAAGATTTCCCTTTAATCTGCCTGAAGAGTCCTTTCAGGTCTGGGGTGATTCTATTTGAACTACTGGATGATTCTGTTATTATTCTAACATTTTCTTCTTTCTAAATGGAAACACTGGCTGTGAGCTCTGTTAGGATCAATGTGACTCCAAAGTGCAGTTTACACATACACCAACAAAAACAACTAATGTAGATATTTATTCTTCCTACACCGAAGTCATTATACAAATATTTGGTCCCTGAGATACCAGAAAAACCAACAGCAGGTGCCTTTCAGCAAGCCTTTTTTATTTAAAACAGCTAAAGCTAGTTTGAGTTTCATTTCAGAATGATAATGAGACATCTTTAATGACAGTACACTTATAAAAACACAACATCCAAAACTCTTATGAGGCGATCAATGAGCCTTAACTGGCTGTAATCAGGTGGATTCATCTTATCTAAAGCACAATACTGCTAAAACAGCTGAGTGTGACATGTCAGGGTCTCAGATGAAGGCCCAGCTAAGCCGCACAGTCCTGCAGGACACTGGATGCAGAAAATAGGCGGTTTTTGTCATGTGTTCAGTGGTGTCTGTGATTCCTTTTAGTTTGGAGGGTCACACGTTTTAGTTCGGCATGGCTGATAGCAGACGGCAGTTTCCAGAAGCAAGTACTGATACACTCAGGCGAACGAGTGAGTCATAATAAAAGCAGCTGTGTGACGTGGGTCTCACCTCGCCATGACTTTCTGAACGTTGCCTGCAAACAGTCTGGAGTTCTTCTTCTCCTCCTCGGACGGAGTGTAAACCGGCAGGAACTGCAGCACAATAAACAGGCAAACATTGATTTGTGTGTTTACAGCGTCTAGACAACAGTAACAGCTCAATAGAGAGGCAGGCACACGAATCGACACAAACGCACGCAGAGGATCTCGTCTGCAGACACGTGCGCTGTCAAAGCAGCTCTAAAAACTGAAGACGTAATCTCTGCCACACCTCCGCTCACACCCTCCACTGCTGATATCACCTGTGCCAAACGCACATTGTGTACACCTTTACATCATCAGATGTGCTGATAACGTCTAATGATTGATAACAAGCGTGGTGGTTAACCTCGGTGAGCTCTTACCTCAATAGTGATGTTGGTGTACGGCTGTGAAAGCGTGTGAAACAGCACCTGAAACCTAACGAGACAAAAACAGGAAGATATTGGTTATTTTTTCCAAAATCCACACATCCATCTATTTTCTTCCACTTATACAACTTTCAGCCCTAAGAAGTAATTCATTGTAATATATGTGACTCATTATTACATATTTTTCTTAAATAAACTGATTGCTGATGCTAAAAAAGGGACCTGTGCAAAAACCTGTGCTTACATTCAGTCTCAGATTTAACTGTCTGAACTGTCTGTTAAATTCATTCTTTTTTAAGTAGCCCTCTGTATAACTAACCATTCAGGATTTATAACACTGATGCAAAGCTAACAAGCTAATACTCACTTTCTGTGTATTAGTTAAAACTCATGAGCAGCATTTCTCAGGCCCATGAGCAAATTCAGAAAGTAAAAGAGTTAAAAAAAAAAAAAGTCCAAAGTCCAGGAGGCTTCCAGCTGATTCCTTGTGCTGCCTCAAAATGTCAAACACACAGATTCTGAGCTGGAGAAGTGAACAGACTCACCAGTTGCTTCCTTTGTATGTCCAGCGAATAGTATCCTGAGGGAGAGTCAGAGAAAAGCTTGCATTAAACTGTTTAGCATCAGTCTGAGTGACGCATTTTCTCACAGCATGTATGACTTTAACAGTATTTCATTTCCCCCG